GTCCACAGTCTGTCCCTCATGTGTCCACAGTCTGTCCCTCATGTATCTACAGTCTGTCTCTCATGTGTCCACAGTCTGTCCCTCATGAATCCACAGTCTGTCCCTCATGTATCCACAGTCTGTCCCACATGTGTCCACAGTCTGTCCCTCATGTGTCCACAGTCTGTCCCACATGTATCCACAGTCTGTCCCCCATGTGTCCACAGTCTGTCCCACATGTGTCCACAGTATGTCCAATAAAAGTCCACATTTTGTCCCACGTGTCAACAGTCTGTCTCACATGCGTCCACAATCTGCCCCTCATCTGTCCACAGTATGTCCAATGAAAGTCCACATTTTGTCCCACGTGTCCACAGTCTGTCCCTCATGTGTCCACAGTCTGTACCACGTGTCCACAGTCTATCCCTCATGTGTCCACAGTCTGTCCCTCATGTATCCACAGTCTGTCCCACATGTGTCCACAATCTGTCCCACATGTGTCCACAGTGTGTCCAATAAATGACCAAAGTGTGTCCACATGCATCCACAGTCTGTTTCACAACTGTCCAAATTTGGTCCCACATGTGTCCACAGCCTGTCCAATAAATGTCCAAATCTGTCCACATGCATCCACAATCTGTCCAACAACTATCCACAGTCTGTGCCACACTTTTTGCCCCGCTCCCCTCGGGCAGCAGGTTGAAGAGCATTAAGTGTAGAACCACTAGACTGAGGAACAGCTTCTACCCTGAGGCTGTTAGACTCATGGGTATCTAACCAGGATAATCACTGTAATAACACTTTAATTAGTGATATGTGACTTATCTGTGCTGCTGATTATCCATGCTGCTGATTATCTATGCTGCTGATTATCCATGCTGCTGATTTCTTGCCTTTAAGCTGCTACATTCGTACCCATACACTCACAACAGACTCATGCTCAGGCTGCTGTTTAATACACTGTATTATATTATATTATTTAGATTCTTTAGATTGTTTATCTTAGATCCTTGTTTCTTTTTTATACTTAATTTTTTTGTTGTTGCTATTTTAGGGTTTAACTGTGAACTTGAGTAAATAATTTAATTCCACCTCATGTACCACACGTGATGTGAATGATTATAAAGAATCTTGAACCTTGAAATGTCCACAGTCTATCTACAGTATGTCCACAACGTGTCTACAGTATGTCCACAACCTA